TCGAGAACCCACCATCGTCCCAAGCATCTTCATCCCGCCGCTTCTAATCTCTTCGAATGTCTTCATAGTACACTTGCTCTCGTTGAGTTTGATGATGTGTTGTTTGTCTGCGAGAAAGCGAGTGGTTTTCTGAAGTACGTCGGTATCGTTGGTAAAGAGATAAACGTCGTCGAGGTAGGCGAGGGGGGTGGTGTCGGGGCCTAGGTGTTGGGAGAGGGCATGGAGAGTGGGGCGGAGAGCTAAGGAGAAGAACAGCGGACCGAAGGGATCTCCTTGACGAACGCCTTGGGAGGAAGAGAGGACGTTACCGTTGCAAACCAAAGTAGACTCGTCCCCGTATGCCCACTTGCATGCCCTCCACATCGTCGGCGCGAACTTCTTGACCGCCTCCGCCATCTCCTTCCTATCCACCCTATTGAAAGCGTTGGAAGCGTCTAGAGATGCGAGGTGAGTAAATCCGCTATCGTCCTCACCTGCCAGAACCCTCTCCGCCATCCTGACTATGGGCTCGACGCCGCCGGCAGACTTGACGCCCAGCTGATATGGGAGGAGGAAATCGGGCTGGAAGTGAGTCGCGATGATCACCTTGGCGCATAAGCGGTAGATGATTTCGCCTACGGCGATGGGTCGGATGCCCCCATCGGGTTTGGCAAGGGGGATGAGTCGAGACACGCGCAGCATTTGTCGGCCTTTGCACGTGTTGGCGGCGATGGTAGTGGCGAGGAGGAGGAGGAATTTCTTGACGTCGGGGCGTTGGGCGGAGCCACGGAGGAGGGGGACGGTCCAGCCGGAGATGCCGGCGGCGGTACCAGAGTCGAAGCTACGCAGGGCAGTGTCGAGGGTGTCCATCTCTGGCGCCCGACCTTGGCGGGGACCAAGGTCTCTACCGAAGGGACTCACCGGGCCTGTGGGGTGCAGGGTCCGTAACTTCTCCAGCTCTGCCTCTCCGACTTCCACCACGGACGCCCTGCTCTCCAAAATCCTCGCCGCCGCGCCAAGTCTCCCTCTTTCCACTAACTTCGTCACTTGCTTGACCTTGTCGGGCTGCGAGTCGGGGGGTGGGGGAGGGGGAGGGGCTTCGTCGGGCCACGGGGTGTTGGGGTATGCCTTGAGGGCGGCGGTGGCGGTCTTGTTGTTGTCGTCGGAGAGTGCGAAGGCGAGACCGATCTTCGGCAGAGCTAGAAAGTTCAGTAGATTTGCATCTGACGGCTGCTGTACGTAGGCAGCAGCGCAGCGAGCAGCGGCGTCGTGGAAGTGAGGGGCAAGAGTTGGTGGGAGGGGCTTTGCTCGGGCTGGGATGTGCGAGAGAAAGAGGAAGCGGTCGGTGATCTCGGCCGCGGCGGGCGTGTCCCGGGGGATCACGTGGTTGCCCCCGCTGCTTGCGGCAAAGTCCGCCACTGGATCATGGCCCGGGTCCAGGCCCTCGCCTCCACCTCCATTCTCGGGACGCGGCTCAGCGGCCAAGTCCTCGCCGGCCAACTCGTCAAGCATCTCTGCCCAGACTGGCTCTCTCTCTTCCTCTACGACCGGTGGCAGGGCTATAGCCTCCGCCTGGTTCGCATGCACCTCGTCCCTTGTCTCTACCACTTCCGTAGCAGCGGCGTCTCGCGTCTCTTCCTCGATCCCGGCAGTCTCGGACACGGCATCCACAACGGTACTCACAGCCTCGCTCTCTGAATCCCACCCTCCCCACGGTCTTGCAGACTCCTCCTCCCCTTCTTCCCTCTGCCCTCGCTCTTCCTCTTCCTCCTCCTCTTCCTCCTCCGCTTCTTCCTCCTCCTCTAGCACCGCCGCCCACTCTACCGCTCTCGCTCTCGATCTCGTCTGTCGTTGGTCGTCGTTGGGGGTGGGAGGGGGAGGGGGGGCGATGACTTGGGCCCTAGTGCGAGGGGGGGAAGGGGGAGGGGGGGCGTTGGCGCTGGCGTTGGCCCTAGGAGGAGGGGGGGAGGGGGTGGGGACCTGTGAGAGGTTGGCGCGCGGTCGGAGGCTGCAGGGGCCTGTGGTAGAAGATGAGGCAGTGGGAGTAGTACGACTGGTGAGTACCCTGCTTGGTGGTGTGGCGTTGGCACTGGTTGGAGGCCTTGGGGCACCGGTTGCGGCGGTGAGGGGGAAAGTGCTCGTTCTCGGGGCTGGCGCGGGTCTTGGGGCCGGCTGTCGTGCTCGAGAGGGGCCAGGAGCTGGGGGGGAGCGAGCCACAGAGGCTCTGCGCGCTGTATGTCGACCAGCAGCAGGCAGATTTGCTGACTCGACCACCAGCAAATTTTCCCCTCCTTCCAACGCCGCCGCCGCCGCTGGGGCCTTCCCTTTCCTCTTGTACCC